AGTACGTGAGGCTGCCCGAGCTGCTGAGAAGGCTCGTATAGAGGCGGCGGAGGAGGCTAGGAAGAAGAGGGAGGAGGCTGCGGCTAAGGAGGCTGGTGATAAGGAGGAGAAACCTGAGGGGAAGGAAGAGGGAGAGGGCGATCAAACGATGGAGGAAGCTCCTGTTGAGCATAAGAAGGTACGTCGGGGTAGGGAATGTACTCGTCGGTGTTGCATTGATGGGTGGTATGTGGGAGTTGAACATAGGCTGTTGATGTTTCAGGAGGAGGAGGAACCTGCGAAGCAAGAGGAGCCGGAAGAGGAAGAAGAGGAGGAGGAGCCGGAGCCGACACTGCCTCCATCAGAGGTTAGTGAGGAGGAGATAAAACAACGACTGTAAGTGTAGTACTCTTTGAAGTGGGGGGAAGGGAAAAGGAGTTTACCCTACAATTGGGGTATCTAGTAGATCGGAAGAGGTGATATGGATTTGATAGTCACCTCACCTCGTTGTGTCTAACTAGGGTCAAGGGATTATGATAGTCACATCTGCTGGTCATCGCTAGTAGTAATAGTATTTACGTTCGCCTATTCTTCGCGCTCCCATCACAGTAACCACTGTGATCGATGGCTTATGTCGTCAACGTTTGGGATGCATTCTTTCCCTTGTCGATGTCACAGAGTATGAAACCTGTTCATCGTCACGCGTATGTTATGAGTGACGATGGATGAGTCATAAGCCTCTACTCTACACCGGGCATCAGTTCGTAGTTATGTGAGACTTCAAATGGCTCCCGTGGTTAATATCGGTTTCGGTTGTCCTTATTAATGAAAATGTCACTGTTATTTTAGGTCAGAAGGTTGCTATAGGAAGATGCCCTTCAGCGACATTAGCCACAAGGCTCTGTCGGAGTGTTATCTTTCCTTTACGTTGCCGCAAGGGAGTGAGAAGACTCCTCGAGGACTGCTGGCATTCGACAGTATCAAGTTTGTGTGGGACGACAGGGCGGTAGCGACACAGTAGGGAATTTTGTGGCGCAGCGGTAGTTGTGAGGCTTGCATTATAGGAGGCTACAGTCGTGGATAAAGTCCCATAAGATTGTGGAGAAGGTGCCGAGTATTACTGGACCGACGGACTGGTTTAAGCAGCAGATGGAGGCGTGGATGAATACCAAGCTGGAATGGAGGAAGGCTCAGAGGCTGTATAAGGAGGAGCAAGCGAAGGGCACAACGGAGGAGAAGGCTAAAACACAGGAGGAGGACGAAGGGGAGAAGGAGCCACGGAGGGTAGGAGGCTACGATTGGGGATTTTGTAGTGGGGGGTTTTGCACGCATGTACATGGTCAGATGCTAAAATGGTAGAGGCTGCAC